ATATTAGTCAACTAGCTAACTAGTAGTAACTAATAGTATTACACGTTGTGTACGTGATAAAGTAGTTCTTGCGGCTGCGTACCAATGATTTGACTCACCGGATGAGTACGGATGGACACACAATATCTTTTTTATAGAATATATATATATATTATATGTGAATGCATTTGCCCATAGACACCTACATCAATCCTCGGTTAAGAATCAAATTGCAGATGCGTGCGAACCCCTGCTGACTGGGATATAAAACTTTATTACCAAAAAAATATATACAATTCTTGTTACTAATCATAACAAAAAAAACCTTACTTTTGCTACTACTCGCTTGTTGTAATTTGTACGAGTGTGGTCGCTCTACGATTGAGCCAAGCCACAGAACACAGAAAGACCTGAGAGCCGAATTATTCGTGTTGCCGAATTAGTCGTGAATTATTCGAATTATTCGCCTTAATGTGCTGCAGCGTGGCTCTACTATATTACAATAATAACGCAAATTAAGAGTCACTTTTGTTTTTCGAATAGTGAGTTTAGAGAAATGGAAATACTTTTTATTATTTACCACCCTTCTTACAATAACTAGAATATATAGTCCAGTCAAATAAGGACTGAAATCAAAATTTTGCACCCAACTTTACTTTTTGATATAATGTAGTTTTAATGATACAAAATCAATGAGTAAGCATTTCCGTGTCTGCAACCCCTGGCAAGGGTTAAAAAAAATTGTCAAGTATTATATATATATATATTATCCGAAAATGGTAGAAATTAGACATAAAAGTAAATTTAAAAATACCGTAGGTAGTAGAAAAATAAGCGGCTTTTTTAAATTGCTTAATCAAATCTAATCTTAAATTTTAGAGATTTTTTATTGTTAAAAGAATATAAACATTTTATACTTGTATAAATTCACACCTGCCGGAATATGCGATAGTTAGTCTCTTTTTTCCTAGAAATTGTTCTGGGACATCACACATTAAACGTTTACTTTTTTTTTAATTGAATATAATAATAAAACATATTTAATATCCGATCGTGTTTTTACTAGATGCTATTTCAATTCATTATTTTTTGTTCTAATTTTAATGGTTTTGACAGCAACAAATTTATTTATTTTATTTATTCTCTATTATACACCAAAATACAGAAAAACTAGTAGAGTTCAATCTAAAGTATAATATGTACAACAGGCGGTCTTATCACTCTGGATGTGATCACTTACAGCAACATTTGCGTAGAGGACTGATGCAAATAATTGTTAAAATAGAGGGGGATGTACGAAATAAAGAGGAAAATACATATAAATACAGATAATTCCAATTATTTTATATTAATATTTTATAATATAAAGCAAATACTTTCCCGTTTAAGTATTACAGTATTAAGTTACCAATGTCTTCCAAAAATTCGAAATAGAACAAGATGCAAAAGGTACATATGGCGGACTTAATGCCAAAGATCATTCTCTCCCAGTCATCCATTAGGCTAAACAGAGATAGATATTTAAGAGATGCTGCAGCAATAATCAAAATAGAAAGGGATGATAAAGGTAAAATTGTATTTATAAATATGCAAAATATATACATAATTAGGTCGATATATATGTAAAAAGTTAAATCTATGTGTATATATATTTAAATGAATACAGATAAATATATAGGTAATATATAAAAATATTATCTATGTCAGAACAAACATGAAATATATATGATAGAAAGAGCTGCGTTACATCAAACCTGCAACGATGTTTTCACAACATGCTTACAAACGTTTTGCTTAAAAATTGTTTTTATAAATGAACTTGTGAGCTTGGTTAATGTCAAGAGTGATGTCGTCCCAGAGTCTGATGGCCGTGAGGCCGAAGGTGAGAGTGTAAAGGAGTGAGCAATTTAAGATAACCCGAAGAACGGATAGAACAATTATGCGAATCTCTCAGATATTTAAGATTGAAATTCGGTTTCAGATACTGAGGATCTATGGATCGTTCTGATCGAACTGATGTAAAGGCAGCCAATTTAGCGTAGTACGAAAAGAAGACGATAAGAACATGGTCGTATTTATGAATACCATAAATGTACAGCTAAGCAGACGATTCAATGTATTAAGATGTTGAGATAGGTCTGGGTAACACACATCGACATAATCAATAATCGGTAGAATAAATGACTGAATAAATAGGTAGAAGTTAGGCTTAGTATTGGTGGGGAAAAAGCTTTTCAATTAATATAGAGATCACAAATTTCCAGTAGTTTTGCGATTCAACTCCTGTATATGTTTGTTTCATGTTAAGTAACCATCAACATACAGACCGAGATTCTTTAATTCATTATTTCAAGTCATCGTTTAATAATGAGATTTCATTAATGATATTTGAGAGTTTCACTTGCGCTGTTTAACTATAGACCATCGGTATACAGATGGTAACATTTAATGTGATGAGATTGATAAAAATGGAAACAGAAGAGCTCTCCTCTTCTATTTTTTTTTTTACAATGACACATTACACCAGTCAGATAGTTAATGTCCAGTATGCACGACCTGTTAGCAACCTCGAAGATATGATGAGAACCATTTCTAAGCTGGAGACGAGATATTCAAATGAGAAAGTAGAGTTAATAAGATATCATAATTAACAGAATTATGTGCGTTAGAAAAATCTATTAAATTGAGATCAGTCAATCAATGATATCTTCCGTCACCTTTAGAAGAACAGTAGTTGTAGAATTACTAGAGTGAAAACCCGACTGACAAGGCCAATGAATATTCTTTGAAAAAACAAAAGAAGAAGTCTGTTTATGAGCAACAGTGTACAGAAACTTAGAAAAAACAGACAGGATAGAAATTGGTCTGAAATTGGATATAGCGCTGAGATCGGTACCTTTAGGCATGGAAATAATTAAGGCATTACGCCAGAGTCAGTGAAATATTAATGATATGAGTTATCATGGATAAAACAGTCACCAACACGAGCAAACCATTACCCTACTCACATCATCACATCCAGTGGCTTTCGACTTAAAAAAAGAAAGTGCTTTGCGTACCTCGTCTTCGTCTATAGGATAAAATGCGAAAGTTTCATAAGATTAAGAAGTCATGTAAGATGTAAATAAGATAGCATTAGCTCTAGAATTATCAGAATGTATTTCAGAAAACAGAAAATCACGATTAAAATCGTCAGGAGTAAAGGTGATGCTATTATTCATAAATTTACGATTTTCCATATATCAGGCGTATTGAGAAACTTCCATATATCAGGCAAAGATGAAATAAGTACTTGTTCGAGGATATATAGGCGTTCAGCAGCTCTCACCATCTAATTGCATCGATTCCTCGCAGCTTTATATGCTCGCCACTTTATATCAGTGTGATTCCTCTTAAAAGCACGAAACATTCTATCGCATTATTCCATAGCCATTCCTACCCCAATCCCCAATACGCTTAAGTCAAACGACACACTTATATTCACTATACAGTCCTAATTTGTTACTGTTAAATATCGACTTTTTCGAAGCATAATATACAGATGACCAGTTAATAGCCCCCGCATCACGCTTAAGCTTGTCTTTATCAAGCTTAGCAATTCGAATGGACACGGATGAAGGCTTGAGAGATTTTAATTTATATGAGTGGAAAAGCAGATCATAGCGTGAAAATCCAGAATCAGGGTTGAGCATGTTCTCAAGCATTGTCTGTAATTGACAACATGCTCAACGGATTATATCATCATCATGTTTACATATGGTGAAAAATCGTTTCAAAAAATTGACATCAGATTCTTTACTGTGATGTTTCTAATATTTTAATAAATAATAAAATCATAGAGCAATAAAATAAAATTGTATTTATTAATGAATAAGTGGTTATATACGAGATACTGCGTATTGAAAAATAGCTATAAGAAATTGAATGTAAGGCGTCTAGAAAGGCGTGGTAAAACGTTATTTAAACATTAATATAAAAAAGTATATAAGTATAAGCAATGCGTACAACGGGGCGTCTGGACAGAGAAAAACTGAACCAGCCGGTGCATCGGCGATCAGTGAAAGCCGACCGAGTCAGACATGCAGACACCAAACATTCAAGAGTACGACTTGATAGCTATACTTACATTGCACTTATTTGTACGATAGCATAGACAGTGCCGCCCTTTATATTGAGCTATAAACTGTACTATACTTTCTATTGCTACAGCTCAAAATTTAAAATCGTACAAACTTGTAATACCAGATAAAATAATTTGTGATAAATGGATTTTTCACTCAACAAGCCGACTGTGATAAGAAACGATAATTAATAATTATCGTTTGGAAAATGATTGAGATATTAAATAATTGATGAATACTTTTTGTGTACTCCACGAATACTCAAGTTGTTTTGATTTCTCCTATGCGTTTAAAACCTAATACCTGAATAATATATACTCTGAATATAAATAAATAAAAGTGTAAACGTTCCGTTTGTTCAAAATCTTAAATCTCCAAAGTTTCTTCAGCGATTACATTAAAATTATGAGAGAGAAAGAGAATTTATGAGACTATTTTATGAGCCACAAAAGTCTTCAGACATACATACAGTATATATATAGTATATATATAATATTTATTATCTATTAGCACATCATATATTAAAATTCTTTATGCAAAAAAAAATAGAAAAGAAAAATGGGCTTAACTTTCTAAACAACACAACAAACATATTTATTGTTGCCTCTGCTACATCAAAAACCAGCCTGAAATAATTCTAATTGCGCAAATCAGTTAGCGACTCCCGGCCGCAATATAAAACGTGTAAGCGGGAGCGAGCCCTCGTTATCAGGCGCGCAAGAGCCTAATCACTTTCATTGCAACCCTGCAAGGAGGTCGGCGCGGCTATCACGCCAGTCGGTCCCGCGCAGTGGGTGCGCGCAGGCGTGCGCCGCTCCGCTCGCCAGCTGCCATCAGCTACCGTTACTTAACGCCATCCGCTAGCCACTCGCTACCGCCACGACCCGGCCGCAGCCGGGAATGGAGACCTGCTGCGCCATTACAGCTGCCGAGGACCTTGTGGGCGACCAGGTACGAACCGCGCCCGACAGTGCCTCCAGCTACCTGGCGCTACGATATCCTATAGCTCCACCAACATCATCGACATCCAAGTGCTACGTGATCATCTGTGTTAAAATCAGCGTATAGAAAGTGGTCTTGTGAATCGAGTATTCTAAAGTAGTTTACCGTAAATTTTTTAGGACGCATTTAACGAAAACACCTTAATAATAATATGGACCGTTCTATGTTTGAATTATGTAAGGCTACGCGGGCTGTAGAAGAATTCTTTCAGTCATGAAAGTGCTTGTTTTCCTGTGGCAACACAGATACTGATATACAGACGTGATTAGGAGGATATGATACCTATAAGTGTGATGTTCGCATTTCATTAACGTTTCTTTTACAAATATTGTCCTTAAATCAAAATTATTATTTATAATCATATTTTTATTTTTAAATTACATGATTATAAAAAAACATTCAAGTTTATTCTTAAAATTTTAAAAAAACTTTTAAAAAACTAAACTGTTGATATAAAATTTGTTGATTTTTTATAATGGAAGCCATTTTTATATATAATACATAAAATAAATGGCTATTTACGAAATTTATTTAAAAAAATAAAAATATGTATTTATAAAATTTCGTTTTAAAATACATTCCACGGGACTCCATTATAATAAAAACCAAAACCTTTGTGCACTTTGGCTACTCCATATTATAATACCAAATGTATATTTTAATTTTAATTTGCTTACTCTAATGAAATCTCATTTCTCCTAATGTGTATCATCCATACGGATGCATACAAAAGACATCAACGACTATTCTATTAGGTCACTGCCTCACAATTATCTGTATTTATTTTGCTTAAACATAGCATATAAAAATTTGCACTATCGTAATTTTTTTATATTTGCTGTTTTGTTCCTTTTGTCTGCGTTGTGGAATTTTATCGCAAATAAAAAATGATAAAATCAATTCACACACTCGATCTATTCAATCTTGTATTCGTTTCACAGATGTTATTTATTTTTATGATTGTTAAAATCAATGAATGAGACTATTAGAAAAGCATATGTAAATTTAATTCACAATTTAGATAAGAATTTTTATTTAAACTTAAAATTTCTGCAAAGTTAAACTAAAAGATTTTAAAAATCAATCAAGGGTATTAAATTCAATGAATAAAAATAGAACTTACTCTCAGCCACTTATTTTTTGACAATGCTAGATAACGTTAAAGTAGTAATATACGCTCTAAATGGTAAATATATAGTAAGCCTATCTACGAAGGCATGGTTAATCGATTGATAAAATAAAATTTAACGATAAAAGTAAAATGAACAACAAATTAAGAACAGTAACCATAAAAAAATCTAAAATAGCAAATTTAAATTTGTCAACGTAACAAATTAAGGAACATCGTAGTTGCGGCGGAAAATAAAATACTTTACTTTTACTTTAATATTCAGCCCAGGATGCTTTCATATTTTGCCTAATAATAAACTTTCAAATAAAAACTCAATTAATTTTTTTCTGTTATGATACGTTAGTTTATTTCATCTTTATTAACAGGTTCCAATGTAAAATTTATGACTTATAACCGTTCAATTAATGAGATTGACCGTGTGCAATTTCGATGACAAACTGTATGGCCACGAAACAGACTATTAAAATGTTTAATAGAAAATTGTGTCAAACTTTTAAACGAAACGTAGGTGGGGTGATGTCCTCCATACAGTTTCATATACTCGTATGAAAATTGATGTCGTATAGTACACGTGTTAGGCATATCATGCTTGATGTGATCCGCCCTTGATTATCATTGCTGTGATTGGTATAACGGTTGCAGTACTAGGCGCTACTAACCTTAAAATCTTTTTCTCGATTTTGGTCGCGATGATTGAGATCGGCCAACAATTGGAGAAAAATTAATTTTACCACAGATGATATAAAGGAATAACTAAAATAGTCCAAAAAGTTGTAACTAAAGTGAAAATGGAACTTAAAGTTGTAAAAACCGATAAACGATGTGGAAGAAAGATTCTCGAGTAGCTGCTTAGCACCGCCGAATGCTGAGTAGGGCGGCAACCAATTAGGCAACTAAGAGGTTAAAGGGTTATATATGTGAATTTGGGATGGTCGAGACTGTGTGGAAATTTTATATTCATCGTGGACTTGTAGAGTAAAATAATAATAATACATGTGATTGTTTTTTCATAATGACTCGGTATCCTTAAGTTTCTCTGGCAATAAGTCAACTCTTTCAATATTGTTGAGTAAAAATTAATTCAGTTATGACGCATTTAAACGACAACAAGTACTTTTATGATTGTTAATAAATATATAAAGTTTGCTAGTAGTTTGCAAGAATCGAAGACAACATCTCATCTAGATATTGACATTAGAGTTGAAAACTAGCGGCAGGAAACTTTTGTTAATACTACATCGTAAATTGATGTTACTAGTGACAGCAAGGGACGTTGTTTCCAAGTTCTGCGATAGAACTAGTTAAAATATATGGACATTTTCATGGAGATCTTATAGCCAGCAGCCATACCCTACAGTATAATCAGAAGTTTTCGTGGCCTGTGATACCCATAATAGGTCAACAACAAATCGAATATCCGACATTTCTAAAATATAAATAATGAAAGTACAGTTAACAAACAGGTAGAGTTAGATGATCATTTGTTGTATAGTACACTGTTCGGACGTCTTCGATGATTCAAATTAGCATATTGGCTTTATGTTTCTTGAATATATTCGCTATTAAGTTCATCTTACTATTTTATTTCCAAAGAAAATAAATTATACTCAGTTTAAAATTCATTGTTATTAGGCATATTTATGGTTATACCTTGTTAGAATTAACGATAGAAAAATTACTAATTTAAAAGTGTTTTGGCAAATAAAATGAGTAATGTGAGAAATAGTTTGAAAATTCATTATTCGGGCTTATCTTTGAGTCAATTTATTATACAGATGCTGTAAATTAACTGGGGATAGCGTAAGTAAGTAAATGTACGCATATGACTATGCCTGTCGTACTACATTGTTGACAATAAATTAGTTAGGTAATACTGGATATTTTTCCATGGTCTTACACGGAAACATCATTATCAAATCGTAGCTAATCAGCCCATAATAACAATTTCATCCTGCTATTAGCCAATACAGCAGTAACTTTATTTGTATTAAGGCACAAGGTGTTAAAGTCTAATAAAATTGAACCCTCGGTCCGACTTATCTGTTGTTTATTTTGTAAAAATGAAAATCTTTTGCCAGATTGTCCCGGGCGGCAGCCGTTGGGGCGCACCACACACCAGCGGCATCCTCGATTCCTGGTTTCAGATGCAGGTAATTTCTTCAAATGTTTAATTAATTTTAAACTTTTATTGTAACATAACAAATGTAACAATTTAACATCTCTTAATTACTACTGCTAAGTAAATATATACACTATAAAGGGTCTGGTTTAATATAATTTAGTTTTTAAACGTTCATTAATTTGATTTTTTCAAATATAGAATACAGTGACAAAACATTTTTACTCTATTTTTTTTTCTATAATCCTAATTCACATAAAATATCTTACATGGTGTTTTCTATGGTATCATGTCTTATTTAAAATATTCCAGCGTATTTCGTTTAACGCATCATAATGTTTATATAATCTTAAATACAAGTGAAATAAAAAAGCTAAAAAAATATTTGCATGAATATAATCCCTAGAAAATATTCAATGCATTACTGGCAGAGAACTGACAGCCGCGCACCACCAGAATGACAATATCTATAATGTATACCCAGGCCAAGTTAAACATAACAAATTGAATTTGTATAGCTTTAATATTTTAAACCTTAATCCATCGAATTAAAATTGTGTGAGGCTTCCTTAATGTAAATTTATTTTGGTAACGGTGTTAACTAATTTGTATGCGACATGCTATGATGACATTGTCACGTAGCTACGACATATTATGTATACAAGATATGTATGTGCGTATGACATGCTATCTGTTTGTAGGGTTTTTATATTAATTGGCAGTATAAAGCTTATAGTGTTTTATATCAAATGTAAAATGACATAACAAAGAAAATGAAAGCAACTTCAACATAATATAAATATCTTTTATTTTTTATATTTCTTTATAGCATATGTCGCATGGGCTACTACTGAAAGCATTTATGACACGAAATTGTTGTGCTTTTACACGAAATTCTAGTTGCATTGTATTTTTCTAATTGTTTGTTTGTACATTATTCATTGAATAAATAAATAGGTGCCATTTCAAGCTTATAAGTGATAGCAATAAACATAGCATGATTACATCTTAATTTTTTAAAAAGCTTATCAAATCAATAATTAATTAAAACATTAGTTTTATTGAAATTTATTTAAATTAATATCAGTTTTAATTTATGATTTATTTGATGTTTATTTTAAATACACCGAGGATCATAACGAATAATAAATAAAATTTCATGGACTTCAGAATAACTCTTATTATCCATTTTTAGATCACCTTAATAATAAGCAAACACAACTAAAAGTCATTTAGCTTCGTAATGCATAGTAACTTCAATACAATTTTGAAACGCGCGAATGCACTGAAATTTAGCGCTGTAGTTTACACTGCAGCATTAAGCTAAATTTGCCCCTTGTGAATACGTGACAACAAATTAGACTCTTGTTAGAAGATGTTACAACAAATCTAAAGAACATTATTAACTTCATTCGTAAAAATTAAATGAATATTTTTTTAAATATTTATAATGGCGACATCATAATATTTGTGTTTGTTCTATCAGTTTTATATTTTACATTTTTTTCATAGTTGTGTTTTTGTTATATTTATACCTTTGGTTATCGTGCGTTTCTAGTAAAATTTGCTAACTGTATAAGCGGAAAAAGAATTTCAACAAATGATTAAACGAAAAAGCAAAGAATCTTTAATTGTATCATTATGTAAACTTAACTTTTTTATATTATGGAAAACTAATAGCTTACAAATATTAAGTAAATAACATGTTTAATTACAAGAAGCCAATAACAGGTTCTCACTAATAGAAATACAATAACATAATCTTTTGTCGTTTATAGGACGTAGCACACATACGAGAATCAAAAATGGAGTCTAACAATGTCCAACATGCATAAATTTAAAAAGTGAATCAGACAATAACACCCAAAAAGAAAAGAAGGGCAGGATTATACGCACCATATTTTTTTTTAATTAATTACGACACAAAAAAATCTCGTCTTAATGCCCGCCTTGCAGACATAGGTAGTATTAAACAAATCAAATTCGCGGTTTTTGCATAAATTATTAAAATTATTACTAAACCGCCATATGAAAGTATTTCTTCCACAATTAGTAGATGAAGCTGGTAAATAGAATAATGCATTTGTTATAAGGTCGCACACGCCCACAACCGGTACGCAGGGGGTAGAGGACGGCTTCCTTCTAGATGAAGTGATGATCCTGTAAGACATGCAGGAAGTCAATGGATACAGGTCGCTTAGGACCGTGTTGTGGGGCATTACTTAGGAGAAGCCCTCTCGTATGCATAACAATGGACTTGTAAAGGGCTGTAATAATGTTGATGATGATTTCAGTACTAAGTATTTTATATCAGATAAGGAAGAAAGAGTAATACCGTCTCTTTAAAATTTTATTCCGTATATTTTGTAGAGTATATATTGTACCTAACGTTTTATCCGTAATCCGTACCATTACAACGTCTGAGTTTCAAGATCAACTCAAATGAAATCAAAATACTCGTATATCTTTATTGACTTTAGCTCTGTTTTCTACCGATTTCAAAAAGGAGACGGTACTCAATTCGACTGTATGTTTTTTATATGTGTTACCTCACAACTTTTTACTGGGTGAACCGATTTCGATGATTCTTTTTTATTTGAAAGCTGGTGCTTCACATATCGTTTCATATTAATTTTATCAAGGTCTGACCCATGGTTTTTGAGTTATTTTTAATAACTTATATTGAAGTCGGTTGTACAAAATTTTTAATTTTTAATTATTAGCTTCCTCTCATGTACATTACATGCCTAATAATTATTAAAGACTAATGCCATGCAACGTCTAAACTTATTTATTAATTAATATTTATTCGGCATTATTAAAATTTACTGAATACTTCTTGTTTTACTAGCGTTGTACTACTAGCCTTTATCTATTATATAACTTAAGCAAAAATCCTTTTCTATGGGCAAGTAGTTCCATTATCGAATAATCAATTTAGTTTTTTTTTCTATTATCTCGAAAACTATGTGTGATATGGGAAAATGTTTTTAATAAAAATTGAAGATCTATTAATTTCACTTAAAAAACATGTTATTACCATAAGGTGATCAGATGTTTTTAACCACTTTTTAGTGGTTTTATTGTAAAGTAGTGTTAAATTAAATAAAAACAATTTTACAGCAAAATTTAATAGATAGAAGATCAAGTGTAACTATAGTGTGTCTGTCACCTTTTAGTCTACAATTACAAACCAAAAGAGTTTTGTCAATACTTTTTTATTATTTCTTGTAGCCTTATAAAATAATCATCAATCACGATTTTTATATATTTACGCGAAGACTACACATTAAATGAAACTAATTTTTACGGATTTTATCGCGTTTAATTTAACTTTTTTAATTTCCAACGTTTCGGGTGATTTACAGCACCCATGGTCACGGAGGGACTGAGGTATTTGACATATTCTTTTTTTCAACGTACTTTGAAGTTTATTTCAAATAAGTATTTAACTTTATTTCGTAACAGCGAACTGCCCCGGCTTCGCTTCGATAGGATCTATTATTGATGCAGCTTTATGTTGATTTAATAATACCATAGTCAGTGACCATTTATTTTAAAAAAATTTGGTTTTTTCAATAAAATCTTCAAATGGTTCCGTAAAATATAACCTAAATCCCTCCTGGCAATGCTCTCTAGCAGTTCGTAAAGCTCCACCACAATGGGTTCAACCATTCCGAAGCTTAGCCCGGACAGACAGATAAAAATTTTAAAAAAACACGCGTGATTGTCGTGGAACACTCAGTTGGAACGAAGTTCCTTTCGTTGTATATTATTATGGATAAACGTATTATATTATTGATCAACAAATACAAATAAATGATTTACTACCGCCTACTAAGATGAATAAAGTAATATTTTTTTCATGGCAAGAAAAAGTGCGAGGGCGATGGAGATTATTGGAATAATCGCTTCGCCACCAAGGCCGCCTACACTACGTCAGAAGGAGTCGTGATGGAAAATCTTACACTTTTTCTCGCCTTGCCCCCATCCGTCAAATTCGTACCGTCCAATAAGGAACTTCGTTCCAAAAATAGTTTTTTTTTTAATTTTTACTATCCAAATAATATGTAAATAACCCTCTGAGCTTAATCGAGTTATTTTTATATTACAGACTGACACTTCAATTTTATTCATTTGTTGTATAGCTTTGTCGCTATAGTGGTCTTAATCTTCAGTATAAACTGAAGATTAGGACCACTATAGCGACTTTGATAGATTTCAAATTTAGACAGGTCCTCGGTATACAATATAATTTTACGCTTGAAGTACACAATCCATTAGGTTCCGTGCTGCATCAAAGCATGAATATTGGGGAGATTATGTGCATCGAAACAATTTACACGGTAAATGACGTGTGGAATCGCCATTATCGAACGTCGCGCGCCATGTCCCACATGGGAATCAGCTCCTGAACTATTTTAAGTCGAAAACTTGATTGTGAATAGAACCTTAATATTTTCGTTTAGAAAATTTCTTTAAACTATTCTATCTTTTGAATGTAATTGCCTACATAAGTCCCGACGCTGGTTACAGGCGTCTATTTATATTTGAGAGGGTTTATTAATGTCAATAATAATTAAAAATGTAATCTCATTCTGTTAATCATTTAAGTGGTATAGGAATTGCACTACATTTAATAGAATTTCTAGCAAGTACTTAGAGCGAACCGGCTAAGTGTGCAGCACTTATTCATTACGTGTGCGTTACAGAACGAGTTGTTATGTATGAAATTGTACGGAAACGTCTAACTGTTGGCTTTTACACGTGTTGCGCTTGGAACCACCTGCTGCTGCACTAGTCTGCTCCACCTTAACGTTTGAGTCATCTATCTGTGTAAATATACTATTTACATATAATGAAAAAATTGAATACAGACAAATTGAACAAGATAAGTAAAAAAATATTTAATTATTATGAAATTATGTAATGTTACTGCGAGCGCTAACCATCTGAGCCGTGGTAGCACAGATGGTTAGCGCTCGCTGTAAGCTTCACAGTACTCGAGCATTTCGGGTTCGATCCCCGCAG